AAAGACCTGGGGCGGTTTGAAGTTACGGTAACCTCACTTGTACAAGATAAAATACTATGTAACTGTTTAATTGTTTCTAATATGAAAAATATTTAAAACAAACTTCAAAATGATTTGTGTTTAAGTGACCACTATATCCACGAAACAGTTTTTTTTCTGTGAATATAAACATCCATTCCACTGAATTAACGGCTGTATCTATATATTTCATTCGTTTCCCGTTTCCCGTTGTCACGCCATAACTTGGGAACTCAGCTAGATCGATTTGGCTGTTTTTTTTTTGATGCCTTTGTTATGATCAGGAGAAGGTTCTTATGACCGAAAAAAACCTGCAAATCCTAGGGGAACAGGAGAAAACGGGATTGCCCGTACGAATTTGCGGGCACAAGCTAGTTCTACATATGTTCCTAATTTTTTGTAATAAAGTAGGTACTGAACATTATGATAAAAAAATTCAACTAACTTACGTGGAAAACAATTCGTTGAACATGAATTCAGCAATAATGACGTCAAACTTCTGTTTTGGGTCTCTCAAAAGTTTTTGAACATTCGGGTTGCTAAGAGTCATATCACCGATTGTGGATACAAGTTCGAACATGAGTTTAAAGTCCGGCGATTCTACTGCCCCTTCTAGAATCTGCTTCAAGTCCATTATGTCTTTTGCCACTGTTAAAAATAACATAACATAACATCACGCCTTTTATCCCCGAAGTGCATGTGTATAAATGTGCACCTCTGTGCACATTATGCCACTGTACAATGTAACACCCCCTTTTCACTATTTATGTTACGAGTCTCATGTAATAGAGAGTGAGCCTATTGCCATATACCGGGTACAATTCCAGACTCCATGCTACTACTAAGATTTTTTTTAAAACCCAGTATTACTTTGCCCGACCCGGGAATCGAACCCGAGACACCTTGCTCGGCAGTCGCAATTGCGACCACTCGGCCAACGAGGCAGTCAAAGGTTGTTGAAAATGTAAGATTTATATCTTTTATTTTTTAAAGTTTAGATTGTATTAGAGTGAGTGTCATTTGCCATATTGCTGGTACATTGAATCCAAATACTTTGGTCCGGGTCTGAGACTGAGACTAACCTTCTAATATTTTATGGGTGCTACCAACGTCCACTAAATGTGCTTTTGTCTTATTCTTTAGTGTTTCTATGTACGGTGTTATGTATGTTACCTGAAAAAAACAATTATAAATATTACTGTCCACTGTCTACTGTGAATAGAAGGCAAACGAGTAGACTGATCACCTGATGGTAAGCGATCAGCGCCGGCCATGGACACCCGCAATACCAGAGGAATCGCAGGTGCGTTGCCGGACTTTTAAAAAGGAATACGCTCTATTCTTGAAGGTTCGAAGGTCGTATCAGATATCCGTACTACTATTGAGAATTAAAAAAAAACCAATAATACTTTGCCCGACCCGGGAATCGAACCCAAGACCCCTTGCCCGGCAATCGCACTTGCGACTACTAGGCCAACGAGGCATTCAATCATCAACAAATATAATTAACCAATAATAGTCCATCAGTCTGTCCGTCAGTGAAGCTAGGTGCTCATTCCAAAATGTAGATTCGAGTGGAGAAAAACGCTAGAAACTCCATTCGTTTAACTTATTTTAGTTCCAAACTTTAAATGTTTTACAAAAACTGATACAATCTACCTCTATTTAGACTTAGATTTATGTATTTATCTAATCAAACAACTACCGTGATCATAATAATGATTAACAAAACACAATGTAACACCCCCTTTTCACTATTTATGTTACGAGTCTCATGTAATAGAGAGTGAGCCTATTGCCATATACCGGGTACAATTCCAGACTCCATGCTACTACTAAGATTTTTTTTAAAACCCAGTATTACTTTGCCCGACCCGGGAATCGAACCCGAGACACCTTGCTCGGCAGTCGCAATTGCGACCACTCGGCCAACGAGGCAGTCAAAGGTTGTTGAAAATGTAAGATTTATATCTTTTATTTTTTAAAGTTTAGATTGTATTAGAGTGAGTGTCATTTGCCATATTGCTGGTACATTGAATCCAAATACTTTGGTCCGGGTCTGAGACTGAGACTAACCTTCTAATATTTTATGGGTGTTACCAACGTCCACTAAATGTGCTTTTGTCTTATTCTTTAGTGTTTCTATGTACGGTGTTATGTATGTTACCTGAAAAAAACAATTATAAATATTACTGTCCACTGTCTACTGTGAATAGAAGGCAAACGAGTAGACTGATCACCTGATGGTAAGCGATCAGCGCCGGCCATGGACACCCGCAATACCAGAGGAGTCACAGGTGCGTTGCCGGACTTTTAAAAAGGAATACGCTCTATTCTTGAAGGTTCGAAGGTCGTATCAGATATCCGTACTACTATTGAGAATTAAAAAAAAACCAATAATACTTTGCCCGACCCGGGAATCGAACCCAAGACCCCTTGCCCGGCAATCGCACTTGCGACTACTAGGCCAACGAGGCATTCAATCATCAACAAATATAATTAACCAATAATAGTCCATCAGTCTGTCCGTCAGTGAAGCTAGGTGCTCATTCCAAAATGTAGATTCGAGTGGAGAAAAACGCTAGAAACTCCATTCGTTTAACTTATTTTAGTTCCAAACTTAAAACGTTTTACAAAAACTGATACAATCTATTTAGACTTAGATTTATGTATTTATCTAATCAAACAACTACCGTGATCATAATAATGATTAACAAAAGGATAGCATCATAACGATTTCAGACAGGTTCGAACTTGTCACTCGGGTTTTTGTAAACAGATTAAATCATTAAAGATTATTTATATTTATACAATTAGAATATGTAATACCTGATAAGCAAAAAATATTTCAATAATACGAGTAATACCTACTCCAATTATAATTTAAGCGAGCGTGGACCAATAATGGCGGCCAAGGGATGCAGTAATAGTTTTCCTTTAGGCGATTTAACTAAGTTCCTCGAGCACATACACACACACAAGTGGAAATGTGGAGAAATTCCTTTTAAGCGAAGGCACACCTCCACCGTTGTACAGCCATAGACATTTGGTAAGTTTTAGCTACAAGGGAAGCACACCTCCACCATATGTTCCATCTTGTCTTTCGAGTTATTCTCACAATGACACATGACAGGCAGGCATATCCTTCTATCAAATCCGAAACATCCGAAACAGGTGCTTTCATGAATATCCTTGGACCAGGCGTAAGGTGAGGACGCTGTTTCAGCTCTCTAGTCACTCTTCAATGAGAAGTCTTACAACGATAGTGGCCAGCTGGTTTAAATACCCCATAACACAAACGGTACATATTATTATACAAAATCACTTAACCGTTCGGTGTAGAAATGAATTTTTCAAAGACATACTTACTTCGTGCCCAGCACTAAGAAGATGTTTGACCATATTGTCTCCAAGTATGCCATGACTGGGATTCGGGTTCGAAAACACGACCAAGATCTTGTAAGCGTCACATGTACACAAACTTAGAACCACAAAAAACAAAAGATATCTAAGTTTCTCCATTTTTGAAAAAGTTTCTATTAATTTTAAATCTTTTTGAAATATTCTTTGTCGTATCACAATAATCGGTTATGCTATTGAGTGTAGCTGTCTTCCGGCGTGATCAGTTGACTAACATATAAATATTGTAACCGTTATCTTCATTAACGGACTCTTCTCTGATAAGCGGTTTATTTGAATGGACTTTATGTAAAACAAAATAAGACTCATTTTAGTGTCGAAAAAAACTGCTAAATCGCTGTTGACAGTATCATCCCAATGATATCTTTTACACAAAAAGTGCGTCAATTAGATAATATTATTATCATCGCTATGTTTTTTTTTTTCAAATAGCAACGCAGGGGATCATAGAAATATCCGTTTATAACAAGGTATGAAGAGTATACTTACTGTGTTATGTGCGTTTCTGAAGTGGATGCTTATGACACAATACCTGATATTTTGAAACAGATATCTTCAACCGATTAACTAAATTTTTTTTAAGTATGCACCTTAAATATTCAACAATAGGCTGATTGCCTCAAAATATTGAGAACGTTTTATTACAATAAACAGAAAATAAAAATACAATAAGTAACATAATTAATATTTTATTTTCTTTTATCAAGAACTCCTATTTATTTTTATGTTCAGAATATATGCTAGTACATGTACCAGGAAATAAGAATCAAACTAAAAAGAGAGGTTATTTCTTAACTTTACACCAAGGTGATGGTCAAATTCATACCAGTTCAAAATGTATGACGACTTATATTGTCATCAGATAATGGAGATGATGATGATGCGAGAACTTTAGGGAAATTACTGAATAAAACGAATTTATCGTGATCTATCATTCTTAACATTAATATCATATACATATACCTCCATCAACATTAGGCTAATGCAGATAATTTTGGTAACAACATTAAATAGTAACACAACGTTGTTTGACGTCGGTCTTCTGTGAGGTCGTGGTAGCCAGTATACTATAGTAGTCTTTGGGTCGTGGTATCACTCCGGTCGAGCCGGCTAAAATGTCAATAGCAAAATTGTAGATACTAAAACATATCTACAACTTTCGTGTTTAGACTTTTATATACGTATCCTCTAAATTTACGCGAAAACTTTAAAATACTTTGGATTTTATTTTGATCTTTCTCATTCTTTCTGTTTTTTGCGAACATTTGTGACGACATTTTAAACACTTGAAGCATGCAGATTGAACATATTAATTTTTCTCTCCTTTATTTGCCTAATATTGATAAAGTAGTCTCATTTGCCGCTAAAATATTCTACTTAAATATTTAAAAGTTAAGTAAACAACTGGTTCGCTTCTTATTTGTTAAAATGTCTATTTTTAGACAGTGTAAAAAATAAGTTGCATCTTACCATAATATGACAAAAATAAAACAATCGTATATTTTTTATGGAAGTGGAGGCAAACGCTGGTAATCACCTGATGGTAAGCGATCAGCGCCGTCCATGGACACCCGCAATACCAGACGAGTCACCGGTGCGTTGCCAGCTTTTTAAGATCATAAAGGCTAAATATAACTAAAATCGCAGGTTACTCACGTAAATATACTGAGAAAAGCTCTACTACTTTCGAACCACAAAGGGGTTCTTCGTGCGCGGTCGCGGCGACGTCGCGCAGCTCACTGGCTGGCGTTGGCGCTAGCCTCGGGGTTGCTACTTGCGCTGCGAACCCAACGCGCCCTCTGCCGGACACTACGAGCGTTTGCTTCCAAGTCCGGCGGCGCGTTCGACGATGTTAAAGCGCACGGTGCGTTCACCAGCGGCGCGGGTTGTGGGTTCGATTCCGGGTTCGGCACAAAGTCAGTGTTGCATATAACGCTTACTGTGTCACACTCCAGACTGGAGCCGCTGTGACGGAGACCTTATCAAACCGTATGAAGTGAGCCGCGTCCGTACCGCATACATGTTCAGCCACTGCCGATGCCTGGATATCCATTTTCTTCACGCTCCGTGTATGTTCCTTTAGCCTGGTTGTGATGTTGCAACGAGTTTCCTCGATGTAACTCGAGCCACAGTCGCACGGTATTATGTACACTCCGGACACGGTCAGCGGATCCTTATGATCATATGGCAGTTATCGGCAGTGGCTGAACATGTGTGCGGTACGGACGCGGCTCACTTCATACGGTTTGATAAGGTCTCCGTCACAGCGGCTCCAGTCTAGAGTGTGACACAGTAAGCGTTATATGCAACACTGACTTTGTGCCGAACCCGGAATCGAACCTACTACCCGCGCCGCTGGTGAACGTACCATGTGCTTTAATATCGTCCAACGCGCCGCGGGAGTTGGAAGCAAACGCTCGTAGTGTCCGGCAGAGGGCGCGTTGGGTTCGCAGCGGAAGTAGCAACACCGAGGCGAGCGCTAACGCCAGTCAGTAAGCTGCGCGAGGTCGCCGCGACCGCGCACCAAGAACCCCTCTGTGGTTCGAAACTAGTAGAGCTTTTCTCAGTATATTCACGTGAGTAATCCGAGATTTAAGTTAATTTAGTATGTTATATAAAAATCATAGAGCCTCTTCTTATTTCAGCCTTAAAATTTCATGGCAAAATATTGCTTTTTCAAATTAATTCGTGTCTAACTTGTAACCGAAAATCTCTTATATTTAATGCCATAATATAAATTATCCACCGCTATAACAAGTCGTCACGTAAAACACAACAAACAAAGTATAAAGAACCGAGTCAGTAAAAGTACTTTAGCATTCCGTTTTAAAAGATATCACGTCAAAAAATCTCCCTAAAAAACTTGTGCGCATTTTGTTCATTGAAATCTCTACTGTCTGTTAGATGAACAAAAATAAATATTGGTGTTGAAGATAAAAAAAAAATAATCTCCAATCGAACACAAAAGTGAAATAAAACCGATTCAATTCGAGTCTATTGGATTTTATTTTTGCAGTTTCAGCATCAATATGTATTTTTGTCAGCCTATCAGGAGTAAAAATTTCAATAAGCAAGAAGCGTATAAGTTTCCTTTTTACGCAGTTTTTTGGTGTTAGATCTTGAAACTGAAAGCTAAAGTATTTTTAGCGACTAACTCCTTTACGTTCTGTTTCTTGCTAAACCGCGAAAATTTGTTATAATAATATGGTGTATATTTTATTTTATATCTACCATGAAAAGTGAAAATTTTGAGTTATAAGAAACACCCGATTTTACTTAAAAAACTGAATATTCTGCCGCTTATTTTTAGGGCCGAAAATAAAGGTCTTTCAGACACGATATTTTCGGTTTTTTGCGTTTTCTGTAAAGATGCTTTGAAGCAAGGTGAAATTTATTTTTCACTCTATCCAAAAATAGACATTTCAACAAATAAGAAGCGCATTACTTATTTATTTAAGTTTTAAATTATGACGTGATATTTTTTAGCTGAGAATGAGACTACTTTTCCATATTATGTAAATAGAAGAGAGACAAAAATAAATTATTTAACGAAAAGCGTATGTTTTAAGGACATAAAAAGTATGTCACCACAAACTTTCGCAAAAAAAATAGAAAATAAAAAACCAGTATTTTGAATTTTTCGCGTAAATTTTGAGAGTATGTATAAAAAGTCGTAATACAATAATTTTTGATCTTTTTTGTATCTACAATTTTGCTATTATTTTTCTGTGAGACCTGTAAGTTCCTCCGCTAATCCCAATAAACTTATTTTTTCTTCGAACCACCGATCTTTTTCTTGACCTCCCTCAGATCACCCGTAATTTGAGTTTCCGTATTTTTGAGCACATTCACTTACCTTTGCAATGGATATCATTCTACTACGACCTTATGTTGTTTCCAAAACTATCTGCATTGGCCTAATGATATGCGGTGATTATGATGTTGATATTAATGTTGATGATGATGGATCATCATATAGAAGGTGGTGATAGAACTGTTGGTGGTGATAGAATTAGACAAGTTGAAAAGTTGGGAAATAACCGCATTGTCCCTCTACATAAAAGGAGATTGCTATAATTCCAAGCTTTGTTGGCAGGTGAGAGGTTGTAGTGTCTCTGTTTACTCCCTTAGTCGGCTCTTACGACACCCGCGGGAAGAGTAGGGGTGGTGACAAATGTATTCTACTCTGCCGTCACCACACGGCAAGTTTATTTGTACAGTCAAAAGTCAAAAGTCCACTGCCACCGTGAGCGAAGTTCACACGGCAATATGTAAGCAATTTCATATTAATGTGCATAAATACGCGTGCGTATGCATAAACACACGCACGTGTACGCACACGGATAAAAATATGCGTGTCCATGTGTGTATATGCAGCGCAACCGATAGTATACTTATGGTGGTCGTGGACTTTTGACCTTTGACCATACATAGTTTAGAAATAATTTATATATAGTTTATCACTCTTTGCCCAAAGACAGAAACGCTACACAATTTTAAAGATTTACTTAAATGCCGTGCCATCTGTTATTCTACAAAGAATTTTATCATCAACATATAACCTATAAATGCCCATTGCTGAGCATAGCCTCGACTTCTCGACATCGACTCACACGGAGAAGGTTTGAGCATTATTCATCACGCTTTCTCAATGCGGGTTGGCGATTACAAACTTATGATTCGAAATTATAAGCCCAGGTTTTCTCATGATGTTTTCCTTCAAAAAGTCACATTGGCACTTGCCGTTAGTAGGTTTCAAACCCGCACTCTCATGCATGAGAAGCGGGTTTCTTGAGCCTCCAGACCACCACGTCAAATAACGAATTTATAATGACAGAACTATACATAAGCGCGTCTCAAAATGAAGTGACGTTCATGTATTTGGAAATTTATCATTCATCACTTATAGCAACAAAATGATGTGCATAAACTTGCGCTTTGTAATAATAATTTATTAACGGTGTCGCAACGTCCGCCTTAGACCGTGAATCACACAAAAATATAAATACTTTCCACAAGTCTTTCCATAAATCTATCTATCATGTTAAGACAATTTTAAATCAATTTTCAATCGTTGAATTCACGCTTAAAAAAGCTTGTATAAAAAACTCTGTATCTGTGCCATCATCATCATTTCAGCAGAAGACGCCCAGTGCTGGACATTAAAACGTAAATCAATTCTTCTTCAGCTTCTTACCCTTCGACGTAAGGAACCATACAATCTTCTTAACTACTAGTACTATAACAACAACCGCTGCCAGTAATACAGCTAACAGATCTAGGTACGCTTGCTGGTACAGCGGTACTTGTAGCGCCACTGACCGCAGATGTGGAGCGCCGCGCGTCCGCACCACGTGTTCCACCCAGAAGTTAAACTCCTTTCCAGGTTTTACTGGATTGTCGCGATATGCTGCAGATACTTCTTTTGCTCTGGCAGTATATCTGTTGACACAAAATATTAGCTTAACAACTACTCTTTTAAGTTACCACTTAGATTAAGATCCAAAGTACGATTTTGTGCCACAGAAAGTACATAAAGGAAATCAACTTGGCTAGGGCAAATTAAAATTAAATACTACTTACTTGGAAAGATCACCAAGAACTTTATTCAGAGTGACCTTCAAGTCCTTATCTAAGTTGTAGGAAAGCTTAATTTGTTCCCCAATTCCTTTATGTTGAGCTTGGTTTGCATTGAGGAACTGGTCTGAGAAGACTGGAATAACAATAACTGGAATGCCGAAGTAGACTGCTTCGGTGAGTGATAGGAGACCACCGTGAGTGACGAAAAGTACCGCATTGGGATGAGCTGAAAAAAAAACACTTTAGTATCAACGACCACAATATCTTAAGTGTTAGTAAACTTTTGTCACGCCCGTATTACATAAATGCCTACCCAATATGCTCTGTTGTGGTGCCCATTGCAAGATATGAACATTTTTGGGCCGATCCAATAGATTCTCCTCAAACTTCCACAAGACAGTTTGCTTCAGTCCTCCAAACACCTTCAACAGACCTTTCTTCAGTTCATTCGGCATAGTCTTACTCTTCAAATTGGAGCCCATGCTGAAGTATATGACACCGTGCTCTGCTTCATCCATAATCTTTTGCAAATTCTGGAAAAATTACATGATTATATCGTGACTACAACTGATTAGCATTTCAAGCAATGAAAAAATTACATGATCTTCTCTTTTTGGAGAAAACCAGGTGGATACTGTTTTATAAGGATTTGTCGGAACATATGGCCCGTGATATGATAAATTTTGATATGTATAGAGGTACATCACAGATTTGCAAATAGACTAAAAGAAAATTGTGATAATATATTTAATACATCATTGTATTGTAAATCCTACTAATATTATAAATGCGAAAGTTTGCGAAGCTGTAGGTGTGTGTGTGTGTGTGTGTGTATGTATGTGTGTGTGTGTGTGTGTTTATTTTCCATCAAAACGACTGAAGGGATCGAAATGAAATTTGGAACAGGGGTAGATTATGATCTGGAATAACATATAAGCAATTTTTCCCAGGGGAATGCGGACAAAGCCGCTGACATAAGCTAGTGATATAATAATATATGTTAAGGAAAAAAAAAGACTCCCTTCATCATCATGATTATGATAATAATAGAAATAGTTTGAAAAATGAGCGTCTCTCGCCATCAAACGTTAAAGTTTGGCGAGTTTAGATTTAAGGCAATACCTATGTAAAATTTCAATGAATAAATTTGTTTAAAAAAAAAAAATGCAAGACTAACAGTTCTGTTTTGAAAAAGAAAGCCCAACGAAGAAGCCCTTTATTTCATATAATTTAAACCAAACCTTTTGTTTTCCCCTGCTTAGTACTACAAAGTTTTTGTCGTAGGTACTTTTCACATGTGCGCGTTGTTTAGCCCCAATGTACGTGATCTGAATCCAAACATCAAACTGCCGACAACAGAGCTTCTTCGAGTATGTGACACTGAACACATTTTTTTCTTACTCTTCCTTGCTTTGAGACCAATTGGTGTGTTCCTCAAAATGCTCATAACATTTTATTTAGTTATCTGAAGTTTTTGAAAGAAGAATTACTGAATGATATTCAAGTGTGGATATTACAAGGACATTTTTTTCGTAATACTGTTTTTCGGCATCTGTTTTTAGTACTTCTTCTTTGCAATATTTTCCTCTAGTAAACCACACAAGTAATTAATAGAATCAAACAGAATGAAATGACATTTTAATGGCAGTTATAAAATAACGGACAAAGGCCAGACATAGCTGGCAACACTATAAAATGGCGAATGCTTTTTACACTTCAAATATTACTGTGTTGTGTATATTTGTGGAGGGTGGCTCCGGCTTAATTAACTTCGGCACGGTATTCAGTTTTATAAATTCGATTTCGAAAGGTGGCTTGCTGAGCTGAAGTTACTAGGTAGGTATAAATATAGGAAAAATGCAGCATTACGGACCTCCTTCATATTAATTTTACTATTTATTATTATAAAAATGTACTTATACTATTAAAAAGTTAGTGTCTAATTATCTAAGACAAGAAGAGCATCTAAAATCTTTTAACAAAGAACAAAATGTAATAATGCGCTTTCCATCATCAATTTAAAACTATCTTTAACAACCTACACTATAAATAATACCTACGATACGAGTACAAAAAAATACCTGAATTTTAATATCGCTTTTCGCATTCATATTTACCTACCTTCATAGAGAAAATCGGGACCCAAAAAAAGGCTGCAATATAAACCTTTGATACATATATAGTACATAGTACCTAGACATATAACCGAATATATTTTAACGGCATATGTAAAGTACGGACCGGACCAATAGCGCCCGAACAAATATACGAAGGGGCAGTTTTTATTGCCCACGGCCCGTCAACCACGGCACAAATATGTTTTCACCAAAATTACGATTCCTTTTATCGTTTCATGAAATATAATTATTATTTTAGTTTGAAGATTTGATGGTCCGAAGGTTATGATAATACTTTCCTTATATTATTTTAATGATGTATTTTCTGAGTCTTAAGTAGTATCTACCTGAGAATAATAAAATTTTCCTGGAATAGCTACATACAATTAATGGACTAAGCTGCTTAGGTTTAAATTCCTGTGGGAGTTATGATCCACAACACTTGCCGACTGTTTCATATCGAGCCACAACACATTTTTAATATTCGACGCACTGTTTTGCTCACGGTTGGGTAGCTTCGCCCAATGTTTCGGAAGTATACAAAATGGAAAAAAATATAAAACGCCCGATGTATTTTCGCACAAAAAGCTCTCTCGCGAGTGTGATTGACGCTCGTTGTATGTTACAGACTACATATCTATGTGTGGGTATGCATCGTGTTTTGATGTGTTACACGTTTTTCCAAGTTTGTATGTAGCCATTGCGTTTTGCTGAACGCTTTTTTCCGTTGATTTGAGAGACATAGTGGGCACAAACTGAAGTATTTTTGTATTTAGCTATTTTCTCCTAGGTGCGTAAAACTTTTTGCTTTAAATTTTAAACTCTAATTTGACATTTTTTACCTATTTAGCTATCGAAAATTCATAACACACAAACAAAAACACGAAACCACCAATTATGTTCTAGAACCAGTAGCAAAACAAACATCAAACTATGTCTATGTGTATCTAATTCAACGAACCACATAAAATTGTCCAATATTTGCCCAGTGGAACATGGCACAAATAATTGGACAAATTGTTTGTGTGTCGCTCTCTGATATACGTGTACACAATAGAATTAGCACAGTGGTGCAGAGACAAACACGCTGGCCACAATGGTTGGCGCTAATCAATCGCTAATATACTTGATGATCTTGGAACGATCATTGATTTGGGAGTAACGTTACAATAGTGATTAGATTAATACGTTAGACGGTTATTGTAATTGCAAACAATGCTTATACAATACTCATAGAGATTTAGAAAAGGTTTTTTAAGCAATCTATCTTTTCAACTGATTTTCTATTGATAAATTACTTCCATTTGCTTGATAAGGTTCAAAAAATAAGCTAGGTATGCTTAAGAATTAGTGACTAAATGTCCTCTAAGAAATACAGCCAGTTACAGTTTAATGGACAGTTACACAGTATGATCTCAGAAAATATTTCAAAGGTACTACAAGATACAAAACGCAAATTTAAATATTCACCCTTAGGATCGCGGAATAAAAAGCCATTCAACAAACGACTGAAACGATTAGCCCTCTCTTTCACAAAAGCCCAAGTTTTCGGAAACCAAAAAACGCTCCTGAAAATATCAGTTTCGATAAAATTTGAACAATTTCTAAAACGTACACAACGGATCCAGTTAGGTATGAGCCGGGAACAAATATTTGCTAGTGGTGAACCAGTGACGCGGCGCGGCCGCTGGCAAATCATTCGTGTTTATACTTGTTATACACGCAGTTTTACTCCATTCAATTTGTTTTTATCGTATTCCGAATTGATGTGGACAAAAGTCATAGGTGTCTCAATTACAGATTTATCAGAAGATCCTCTAATTGGTAGAGCTCTTTTACAGAATCGAGCTTGATTTTTCTAAACTGAACCTAGTAAAGACATCCATAATTGGGTACTCGCCAACTAGTCAAATTCAATAATTTTTGGGACTGTCAGAAACGACAGGTTTCTATGAATTTTGTACGAGATTGTGTATTGTGACGTCACGTTTTTTAAGCATCAAACAGCATACTTATTTCTTAAAATAATTCTGGAAAAATACTAAATTTAAGTTGATCACAAAATCGAAAAAGATTGATCAAAAAAGTTAACTATTTTTTAATATCTTAGTGTGTTGAGCAGTAGAAATAATTTATTTTTGGTTAAGGAGAGTACCCAATTAGTGCTCCATTAATACTAAATTAAATGTACTTAACCTAATGTTGTTAACGTTGTAATCACAGCTATGAAACTTAGAGAAAAATATGTATACAGTTATCGATCTAGCGACTATTAAAAGCATAAAAGTAGTTTACCTAAAAGAAAAAAGTTCCAGGTGTCACCAACAAGTCAGTAAAACAAAAACTATCAATATCGAGCGACTCGTTTCAAGTGGAGCGCTCTTGAAGCAGTTAGTATAAAACAATGCCTTTTTTATTTCGTTCCCAAAGTGGTTTCGCATCAAGTACAGTTGTTTAATTGACTTTAACATGTAAAGTGTGCTCGCTACTCGGCAACACGTGTTAGAGATTGTATTACATCGCAATTATATCTGAATCGCTCGTTCAATAATAAACGATAAATTGTAATTGACCGTTTTGGTAATTTGAAGGGGATTTTGTACTGGGTCGATTTGATTTTGAGCATAGTGCAGTGTTTTAGGTTAACAATTGCGTTTACATTGTTTACGTCTAGAATAAACGTGATAAATTCGATTACTTAGGTCGAAGCAAAAGAAGTATAATTAAACGAAGTACACACAGTCGTAAATAAAAGCTGCTAAAAGTAAAACAGAAACAGCTCATATATCTAAACAAAAGAAATACTTCAGAACACTAAACTTTATCTATTCTTACATCCCTAATGAAAATTACCCCAATTGTTCTCATTTGTAGCAACAATAATAAAAACTGGACCTTATCAGCCCCACGCTAAGTAATCCAGATGGTCACATCGAGGACATTTAGTGACTGCTTCAGAACAAAACAAGCAAATCTATCTTGACCCCAGCTCTCCCCAGACGCTACTATAACGTATTAGGTGAGCGATACACTTGTCCTCATAAAGGGGTCAAACTTAATTGGTTATGATACGTCCCCATTTGGGCGTGGATGTTTAAGTATTTGGGATTAATGTAGCGATTTATTTAGATTAATGTCTTATTATTTAAGGCTTGGGAGTAAAATAGAAATTTTTGGGTCGATTGGTGCTTGAGTAAATTAAAGATGGCAGACAGCAAGCTCCAAACCTCTTACCTTATTAAGGAGCCCTGTAACAAGTCATTATGTATATTTTCACGTGGCGAAGTATAAAGAAATGTATCCAAGAGAACATTTATTCGCGGAAGCGTGGCGAATTAGGCGGATCGCGCCTTGTCCAGCCGCAGACAGCTTGTTCTTGAGGACAGGCCCTGAGACAGAAGCGAAAGCGGTTTATTATTTTTATTTTTTGTGCGAAAGAAAACTTCTTGGTAGATCAGGACTTTTCGGTTATTCTTGTGCGGTAGTTACTGTCATAGTGGTCAACAATAGGTTCTGAAAATAGACCTTTTTATGACAGCATATTTTGCAATTTCATTTGGAATTGGAGCGTTCAGGTAAATAGCTGAGAAAATGGTTAGGTTAATGACAACTTTTAAATTATTGGGCTTCTCAGGACTTCTATTATTGGGCAATAATGTCATGAATTAGTTTATTATTAAAATACTTTTATTAATCCGCAACAACCTCTGCCCGCTCATGGTGCGGCCGGCGTGGTTGAGTGACAGTATCGATCTCACATAATCGCGCGCCGGCAATCGGCCCCCCACCTACGACCGTCGTGTTTCACCCCGATAACTCCAATTCCGCTTTATCTCCCCGACTGCCGACTTTCTTCACTCCCCTTTGTGCTTATTTTCTCCAATTTTTTCCACCGCCCCCACTCTTTATTTCGTTCCTTTTCTTATTTTCTTACTACTATTATTTTCTCTTATGTATTTTTCGTGTTTCATCCCGCCCTTGGAAGGCCTTTCTCTCCGATAGAGGAAGTTTTTTCTTCGATCATTTTGTAGGTCGTTATTGGTGGAATTGTGGTTAAGTACCGCCGTCTACGGAATTGATTTTTTTAATGAATACCTACCCTCGCTTTATGTTCCCCGGGAATCGGTAATAAATAATGAAAATGCTGATTGTTAGGATGGAAATAATATTCGTAGATAACAAAGGAATGATTACAATCCATTTAGAAGTGATTTGGAGGTTAATTAAAAAGTTTGTAACTTTGTAGCTTCCTTTAGAGGTGTTTTTATCACTGTAGCAAGATTTTTTCCCTAATTTCGATTAAACTATCGATTACAATAAGCGTGAAAATAAAACAAATCGTTCGTTTGTAAACACAAGCTCATTAGAGGTGTCGTTGTCCTAAGGGCGCGCGCACACTGGCGACGGCGACGCGCGATCAATCAAAATTGTCAACCGATTGGAAAGCTCGCCACGTTTCGCTGAGCGAATGTCGCGCATCAATCATGTTTCAAGTGTAACGTTTACACCGAGTGTGTTACAATTTTGTCGTTTTTTGTTGTACCTTTGTGCCTGGTTGAATTTAGTTTGGATACAAATAAATGCTGTAGTGAATGTTACGTGGTATTTCAAACTTTCAAGTCCCGATCTCTCATTTATTCAACATATGTTGTTCATTTCTCTTAATTTATTAGAGCAATTTTATTATTATGATTATTGTACAGAATTATTACATCCACAAAGTTCTGTGGACATACGTAATGTATTTTTTTTATCGTGGGCGTATTTTTTCTGTCATTGCTAACTTCCATTACTGATATTGGGTACACGCCCGCACAACATCGGTGTATCATCAGAAAATGTGACAGATTGCGTAACAGTACGTCTATTGAACGAATTCAGTAACCCGTGCGCACATTACCGATCCAAGAATCGAACCCCAGACTCAAGTACTCCGACCATAAAGCAAATTAATCAATTAGCTGGAGGCATGTCGACAACATTACGAGTAACGTTTAATTTCGCTATCACCCTTACTTTGAGGGTAGTAAACAACCAGGGTGAATTGGTCCCTGTTGTCGGGCAAATTGTTAGTAATGAAGGGTCATGATGACTGGTTTTTATGTAATTTTTCTGAGGGGGTAATTTTGTGCAATACTGCTGACGCATTTGCTTGATAGTCGTCGAGTGCGACGTTTTGTTCGAGTGCTTTGTTGATAGTTTATGATGAAGAGCAACTTCTCTTTGTATGTTCAATGTTTGTTGATGACTCTTGCTTTAGGACTTCAGAGGCCATTCTGATAATCCCTGATGGCATAGAAATGGATATGCCTCATTCAAATAAAACCTCCCATTTGTTTTTTGATTGACAGTCCTGACAACACAAACGTACTTAAAATCGGTGGACATTTTTTTGAACATTCATTTATCTTTAAGTAAATTTTCAAATGTATTAACCACAATATTTTCTCCAGCAGATCCATTACAATCGGAGGCTGGGTCGGACGGCAATAGCGAGCATGCATCATCAGGAGACGAGGACTCGCAGATGAGGTTACGACTGAAGAGGAAGCTGCAGAGAAACCGAACCTCCTTCACCAATGATCAGATAGATAGCCTTGAGAAAGGTAAGATCAGACCTATAGGGTGTAACTGAAATGCTTCTTCACCGGCTATTTCATACAAAGTTCGTTTCATAGTAAACTCATCATCAATGACAATTACCTAAAGTCCTACACTAACGACCTATGGTCTTGTTTTTGGCCAAGTTTCATTTAAATTAGTCAATTTATTTCCTTCTTGAAAAGAAACATCCATATCGACAACATCTCCATTATTATTATTCTGACTATTTCATAAACACTTCGATTATCGCTTAAAGTCCTATTTAGAACTTCAATTATGTTTTTCTTTGTTACTCAATATTTTCTCTCCATCTCCAGTCAAAAATTGACTCTCATTCTTCGTCAGAATGTTAGTAAACATCCCTTCACCGGTCAATACGTCCCAGGAGTCTTCATAAACCTATTTCCCAATGTCCTTTTCATCTTATTTATTGTTTGCAATAACACGGTTATTAGTAAGTAAATAAATATGGTCCCCCGATGTTTGTTCTGCTCTCGGACGGTGGCAGTGGGCCCAATTATTGATGTCACCCTGTGTTAATCTTACTTATTCATTGTTTGTTTGTTTGTTTGTCTCATATAGTATTGGTTTATTGCCTTAGTGATTGAGAGGTATTTGGATCTAATAGAATTGTTCCGGGGAACCTTTAAAACTTCAGTGGTTAAACTGCTTGCCAAATAAATGTGATTGTAGAAACATGTGAATTGTTTGCTGAGAATGAAGGTGATAAACTGTGTTCTTATTTACTAAATGCAATCTAATTATTAAAATACTCTACTACTTTATTTAATACCATTAACAGCCGAAAGATGTCTACTGCTGGACAAAGGCCGTATCTTACTCCTTACACACACTACATCGACAGCTCTACACCTATATCCATTAATAATTGGCTAGTTTCCTAGACTTAAAATAAATTGTTCCAACTTTTAAATGCAATAAATAATTACAAAATAATCATAATCTCATCCATTGATTTGTCAATTTACCTAGTTTTGGATTTTTATTCGCAAATTTTTAGGAAATAAGTACGCTGTTTGACGCAGAAATATGATGACGTCATAAGTAGCGATCCAATACAAAATTCATCGAAAAGCATCGTTTTTGGCATTCAAGAAAAGTATTGAATTTGACTACCTGTCAACTATCGTATTATCAAGGACAGAATTAACTGCTTGAACTGAAGGATTAACCTACAAATCTTTTGTTACACCGGTTGTTTTGTACAGATCTGAGGGATGGGGGATGGATGGATGGATGGGGGATGATTCAGGGATATGCAAAAAGGAGAATAAAGAGTGCTTGCAAGAAAGATGAAAATGTTAGGATCAATACGTAGTATGAACAATAGTAGGAACAATGCATACAAATGAACATAAAAATTAAGGAAGTCAATGGACCGAAAAACGTTTTCTCAGTTTTCACTTAGACTTTAGATCGATTGGACTTTAAAGCCAAGAAATGTATGACTTGCTTAATGAAGTACAAAGTTAACTGGAAGTGGACTGGTATCGTCTATTTAGAACAACTTATCTGCCTTGCCAATAACAAGGACGAATTTAAAAAGCTGATGAAGTAACACCAAGAGAAACAGAAGAATTACTTACTTCATGTCCAGCGTTCAGAAGATGTCTAACCAGATTGTCTCCAAGGATGCCGTGGCTAGGACTTGGAATCGGAAGAACAGCCAAGATCTTATAAGCCTCACAAGAGCACAAAGTTACAACAGTACAAAACAAAAGGCAGATTATTTTCTCCATTTTTCGTATATTTTTGATCAGAGAAATAACTTTAATAATAATTTAAACTTGTTTTTAATGCCATATTTGTGTGTCGTAACTACGCAAGGGCCAA